AGGAAGGAAGGAAGGAAGGAAGGAAGGAAGGAAGGAAGGAAGGAAGGGAAGAGAAAACAATGAATGCTAGAAATATTCCATGGAAAATATCTTGCTAGAAGTTAAATTACCTATTTGAAAGTTAAATACTCTTGGAACTAAGCATTAAGTAAATTTCATAACGACAAATACAATTTTGTTTCAACAAAATGTGGCACAGCTCACATTTCTCTGAAGATGTGTAAAAGACAAACTCATTCTCTCTTTATAACTGGTAAAATAGAGTTTGTTTCCTCATTTTTACCTGAACATCTGGTAATGAAGCATTTTGACTATTAATTGCCAATTTACAATTAAATTCATTGGAAGAAAGCCTTCATACATTAATTAAAATTATAATTCCATGCATAACTTTTGTGGACTTTATAGGACATTTGTCATCTTCCTCGGAGTTACAAAGCCTGTCTAAATGTGCAATAAATTTGATTCTATGTGACCATTTCACACCAAATGTCCAGTTTCCATATTCTCAATTCCAAAACGATGTGATTTCTCTCACAAATCTGAGTCTGAATTATTCGGATCATTTTCTATTGTGAACTGTAAAAAGAGATGGCGAACATGCCAAAATGTGTTTCTCTTGCATTTCTACAACCTGAGAACCAGTTTGGTTTAAAAAATAAAATTTAACAGCCTTTAATTTGTCATGTGGCTCTGATTCTATGTGTTCTTTATTGCCTCCATATATTTATCGAAGTGAAACATAAAATGGTTGTAATAATGGAGAATTTAAAGCAGCTTTTGCACATGAGCAGTAATGCTAACTAATATGTTGAATAAAGGCTGAATGTAAATTCTCAAGATTTCTGTTTCTTATGAAGTTTTTGTGAAACAAATGTTTCTTTGTTTGTTGAAACAATCTTTACATGAAAGTATGGTGAACTTTGATAGGCAGAATGGAAACCGAAGAAAACTCATTTGCGTGGAACACTGATCCTCACGTTTATTTAATTTTCTAATTGCAGTATATTATTTAGATGACAAAACCTTCAGAATGTGAACCATAGACCTTTCATGCTCCCCCACACTCACTCAAGAGTAGCCTGAACATCACACACACCAGTACAAATAGAGTTACATCCGTTGCTGTGGCCTCCACTTCTCCGGGGTCTCCTGAATTGTGCCTCTCCTCCCTTCCCCTTGCCCTTGGCTTAGGCTGCTATTTGCACTGCTCTACTGTGTTTCTCTCAGCAGTACTAGTGTTTATCCCTCAGCCCGTGTCTTCCCTATCCATAAAATAAAGCTTACTGTGCCATCAGCTTCTGTCGGTGTTATGGTCAATCCTAACCTTTAACGTTGGCATACATGTTTTGAAATAGACCCCACCCCACTGGATAGTCCATGTTCAGCATGTTGCTATGTCAGAATGCACTTCCAAGAGGGCCAGAGCCCAACTCTTCCTGTTCATTGTTTCCTGCTAATAATCTAGTTACATGCTACCCCTTTTCAAGCCTTTTGGGCTCACTGAAGCAAAATTAGTTGAGTTATGTAAGAATGCTCACACAATACTCATACTTTTAGCTAACATTTTAATGATTATTTTAAGTGCCTGCAGGTAATTTTGCCACATTCTTCATAGTTTGGTCATGGTATAACATAAAGAATCACACTTTCACCTTTAGAACTTAACACAGTAGCATGTGGAGGTGAATGGCTCAACTGAGCACTTGCTGAGGGGATGAACAAACTAATGTCTGAATCACAAACATCTGGAGAAAGATCTGACAGGAATATGTTATAGCCACCAATTGCAGAAAACTGCTTCCAAAAACTGATGGCACAGAATTCAGGATCAAAACACATCACATGCTTGTGTGCAGTTCTTAGTGAATTAACACAGATATTATGTTTTTAAAAGGTTGTCTTGAGGACATCTCATATAAACCCATATTTTCTTCTCATATAGACAGGTGTAATTTATCAGAATGAGTAAATAGGGAAGCAGTTCGCCTCTTATGTAACTTTAGCCATTGTTAAACTGAATTGGTACATAGACACATGTCCACAGAGAGCACTGTACTAATCATTCTTATTTATATTTTTATGTATGTGATATCAAGCCATAAAGTAATAAAAATATTCTATGGGGGAAGTAAGAGTTTATGGTACCAAGATCATATGGAACTTTGCAGTGGCTTTGCTCTGTGGCTTACTGGCTTGCCTGTGGTTTACACAAGAAGGGCTTGTGAAAATTTTGTAAACAAATGAAACCATTGTGAGCCTAAACATTACTGGGTGTGTCTAGATAATGTAAGATCATATTCATATTCTATTACTTTGTATCAGAAATTTTATGACCATAATAGTAAGTTCAACATTAAGTTCTGCGTCATGTTTAAAAACAATGACTATTCAATTAATTAGTAATACCATTACAGAACATCTTCATGTCAAAAATGTTTCACAATGTAATAAAATGCTAACATATTAATATTTATAAGGAAAAAAAAGAAGAAATTCATGTGTTAAATATATTCATATACTATAACAGAATTTCAATATTATTTTGATATGTGAAATTATATGTCATTTAACATCTATTTTTGTTCTAATTGAAGGCACATTCCTTATCAGAAATGTGAATAATTAAAAATTACATTTATTCATAAAAAAGAATTTTAATGCATTTTAGACAATATAACAATATAGAAAACTCTGCAGTTACAGTAAGTGATCATAAATTTAATTATCTCTACAAAGAGACAAATATGTAGTCATTGAGTGTCATAGAGAAAATATTATATTGCTTTAAGATTTGGTACTGAGTTTATTAATATTTTCCTATCAGCTTCTGGGCATTATCCTTTCTTGCTTCGTGCTTTCAGACTGTGTCATGATTTTCTACTATTGTTCATATGAGAAAATATATTTAGTTAAAACAATTTATATTTCTTCTAAGCTAGGAAGTTTTAGCTTTATGGTAACCAGCAGGTTTTTTTTTCTCTCTCTAATTATGCTTTCCATCCTTTCCCTTTGTAAAGAACACATACTTGGCTATTCTCTTTTCTCCAAGGAAAATCTCAGAGCATTGCCAATTTTTTTTCTCCTTACAGGTGTAAGGTTGATAGTTCAAAATCATGTAGTTTCAGACACAAGACTTACAGGTTCTGAGGACATTTTTTAAAAGTCTGATACAGACAGAAAAGCAGAAGATAGGCAAGACTCTGTAAGAACAGCTCATCCCTGTAATTACTTCACAGACGGTCATTCAGTTTGACACTAACACGTAAACTTTGAATTTACGTGATTATCCACTGCATGTCCTCAAAGGTCTTCTGTTATTTATAAGATTCAGATGATGATTAGTTTTATGTCAACTTGACACAGGCTAGAGATTTTTGAGCAGAGGAACTCTCAATTGAGATTCTCCATAAAATATGCCCATAGGCAAGTCTGCAGCGATTAGTGTGGAAGGGCACAGCCCATTATGGGTGGTGCTACTCCCAGAATGGTGGCCCTGTGGTTAAAGGTAAGCAGGCTGAACAAGCCAAAGAGAGAAAACCAGTAAGCCAGACTCCACTATGAATTGTGCTTCACTCCCTGACTCCCACACTGGGCTCCTGTAAAACTTTCCTCTAATAATGGACTATGATGTGTAAGTACAAGTGAAATACACTCTTAATTCCTCAGTTCTTTATAGTTCTCATGTTTAATCTCAGCAGTAAAAACCCTAACAAGAATGCAAGGCAAGATAGACTTAGATATTTTTTTCAATTCTTTTGAATATGCTGATTGTCTAAGCTGCCTCTTTTCCTTTTTTTTTTTTTTATTTTTCAGAATGAAGAACAAATTTTGGTACTTTGAGTTTGGCACATCTGAAACCTTCTCAGCCACCTGCAAGAAGCTACATGAATCAGTAGAAATAGAAGTAAGAAAAATGGGTTCAGTTTTGTAATAGTATGAAGTGTCTTATGTTTCCTGCTTTTAGCAATAGATAAAGGTTTACCCAAGATTCTAAAATATGACATTTGTCACTCATAATGAAGTGTCTGAAATTAAAATTAAGTGTGCATATGAGTTGCTTTAATATCATATAAAATATGTGGAATACAACTTTGGAAAGCAATGTAGAGGTTGCTATGCATAGCATGAAGAAAATTTGCCTGATTAAAAATAATAGTTGAAGAACATGAAAAAAAGCTTTACATTTTCAAGTCTCAATATCTCATAACTTTAAGACATAGTGCACTAAAAGTCTGCTTGCTTGCACAGATAAATGTTAAAATATATCCTTTCCCATTCTATTTCAAACATTAGCTGGGTTTCTCAGTTGCCACTACCCATTACAGATATAAAATGTGGAAACCCTGAGAAAGAGGGCAAAAAAATAATAAGAAAAGACACACTTCAGGAAGATCTGGTGACCTACCAAAAATATCTAGAAATTGTAGTACTCAAAAATTTGAAGACATTCTAAACAGAATTCATACATAGAAGAATTTTTGAAGATTAAAGAAAAAGTTTTATTTGTATGAATAGAAAGTTAAAACAAAGAAACAGAATTCTGAAACAAATAATAATTAGCTGATATGAATACAAAATATTTCATTTGACACTTTTAATTTTTAAAAGAAATGAAATTATCTCCTAGTACCTAAGTACCCCCTCATAACGTAAGTTGTTAGTGGTACATTTGCAGGTACTTAGTGAACAGAAGTGAAAGTTGTCTAAGACACAACTCAAACCTGCACTTAGATTGTTCTTTTTTCCATTGGTGTTTCAGGACAAGGTTTCTTTGTGAAGCCCTGTCTATCCTGGAACTTGCTCTGTACTCTAGGCTTCCTGTAAATGCTGAGATCTGCCTATCTTTTCCTTCCAAATGCTAGGATTAAATTTATGTACCACCAACCCTGATTTTTTTTTCTGTACTTAATTTCAAACAGTTCTACCTTCCTTATGAGTGACTATAGAGTAAATTTAACCCAGCAACATTGCTGCTCTGGCAAGGGATCACATCTAAAGACCGTCTATGTCGGTGTGGTCTGCCTGAAATGCAGACATGCAACATACCTTGAAACCCTCAGGCTGGAATAAGCACATGCCCTTAGTATACACCTTTAATCCCAAACAATGATGCCTAATTAAGGGGAACACAAAGCCATGAATCAGAGAAAGATTTGACAAAATGAGTCAGAGATAGGATATGCCCAACTCTCAGGAGAAGAGACAGGAAGGAGAGACTACTTATGAGCAGTAGAGAGGAGAGTTGTGTTTGGTACAGTTCAGTTGAATGCAGTTGACTTCAGTTGCTTCCCTGCAGTTCTGTTCAATTGCCTTCAGCTCTTGCCGTCACTGCAGTCAATGCTGTTCTGTTTGTGGATTTCAGAGGCAGTTTTTTTCAAGCAGAGCAATTCAGCCAAAAGTCAAGAGAAGCCAGTTTGAGTCAGTCTTCTTAGAGAGGAGTTTGAGCCAGAAGAGCTGAGTTGAGCCAGCCAGCCAGAGTTCAGAAAGAATTAGAAAGGATGAGTTTATTCAGCTTTAAGCCTCAGAGGCTGCAAACAGTATAGATCTAGGTAGCAGATGAAGGCTAGAAGATTAGATTATAGGGAAGTTATAACTTCCCCCTAGTGCTGCTGCCTTTCTTAGCCTCAGTGAAAGAGGATGCACTCAGTCTTGATGAGACTGAAGTGCTCGTGTGAGTTGATACCAGGAAGGTGGGCTCCCTTCTTCTGAGAAGGAGAGGGGGGTAAAGGCGGAAAGATGTTAGGAGGGTGAGACCAGGAAGAGAAGAGGGAGAGGGCTGTAGTCAGAGGTAAAGTGAATAGATAAATAAACCTAATAATAATAATAATAATAATAATAATATTCCCACCCTAGTCACAAGGATAGTTAGATAGAAAAGCTCTGGTCGCAGCCCAAGCCCTGTATTCATATTCTTGGACACAGCTCTCATTTTATTCACTCATCAAAGGAAATAAAAACAACATTTACAAGTGACAGAGATTATGTTTTAGAATATTGGATAAATCCATGTCCTAACAAGTTCATAATGTCCCGGATAGAATCTGCAGTCATAATTTTGTAGTTTACTGTTGGTGATAATACTGATATGCTCAAAGTAATATTTTTGTGTTATTTCTCATCATAACCAGAAAAAAAGACTAAATATTAGAAGCAGACTGAATGGTTAGGGAAAAGGGAAAGTGTGTTCATGACCAGAATAAATCAAAATGATCACAGAAGGTTCAAATTAAGGTCCAACCTCTATGTTATATATATTTTTAATACATTGAAATATGTATCTGTGTGTATTATATTGTGTAATCATGATTACTTATAATGTGTGATATATTATTAATAATTCATGGTCTTTTAATCCTATGAAATGCATTAGTGTACATACAGTTGCACACGTTAAGCTTACTTTGTGTGTCTAGTATGTGTGTGTACATGTTTCAGTATATGTCCATGTGTATATTTGCCCACGTGTATGGAGGCCAGAGATTGACATAAGGAGTCCTCCTCCATCACTGTCTATCCACTTAACCTGAGAATACCACTTTGTGTAGACTTCCTGGCCAGCAAGCTGTAGAGATCTGTCTGTCTCTGTCTCTGTAGATCTGGGGTGGGAGTACACTTAGCACATCTCATTTATACCTGGGTCTAAGGGATGCAAACTCAATCCTCCATGTTTAAGAAGCAGGAACTTTATCCACCGAGCTGTCTCTACAGCCCCGAATATGTTATTAGATATGCGGTTATTATGTATGTATACATAACATTTGTTTTTAAGTTATACTATCACTTTAATTTCAAAAATCAGAAATCCTAAAACCACTTTATATTGTAGATTTTGGACATTTTTGTTATCAAAAAGCTACACTGGAGGAAAATCTGAGGCAGAAGCCAGACAATGGCTTTTTATAGTATAATTGGAGACCCAAACCCTTCCTGTGCCTCTCCTCCCTTGTGCCTTTCCCTGAGCACAGACTGAAAGCACATCAATCCACATAGCAAGGCTGTGTGTCACAAAATATGAAATTTTCAACAAGATGGCTTCAGATAGCACAAAGAATTTGACTGAAAGTAAATGTAGAAAGCATGGAGTTCAAAGTTCTGAAGTGTCATTATTCCATATAGCTTTACATCTTATGAGGGATGGGGGATTGTTCAGGATAGTTCTCATGAAATCTTTCTAGAGCTAAGCCACTGATCATTAAGTCATGCTTTTCCATAGTCTGGCTTACTGGTTCTGCATTTCTGGTTTGCTTAAGAAACTACTACTATGGCATTTACAAACCGGGGTCAGTACTGTGTGTTCTCCCCATTAGATCATTGTATAGCTTATATATTTGTGTGTGTGTGTGTGTGTGTGAATGGCAATGCCAAGTGTGTCTTTCTGTTCACATTTTAATGAATCCAGTTTATCATATTAGTAGAATATGACTTTCTACCCTCAAGGTTACTTCATAATTAAATATAAGAAATCAGCAGTTCGGAAATTTGATTCTGTTTGCTATTGCTTCCTATGTGGCCTAAAATCGTACCAACTATGGTTTGAAAAATGTCTAACGAGGAATAAACCATGGTAGTAACAACAGAACCCCAAGCAATGTTGTATGTTTTAATGTCAGCTTCTTTGAAAACAAGTCACTTTCTGTGTGCACGTTTATGTCACAATGCTCTTTCCTGCAGGGAGCTACTTCTGAAAGGAGTAAAGGCTTGAAATAAAATAAACATCTGGGAAAATCCTTCATAATAACAGCTAAACTACATGTATTTTTAAAATTTACCTCATGTGTGGTACTAAGCTATGCACCTGCATTATCTGATTTAATTTTTATACACTCACAAAGATATACTATAAAACTTCATTGCATAGCTAAATATGTTAATAGTTTATAAGGAAAATAACATTATTTCCAGAATTAATTAAATGTAAGGAAACAAATCAATGCTGTGTTCATGTAAATGCCGAGGATAAGATAGTGAGTTAAAAATTTGTACTTTCAATTCTAAGAATCTTAGTTATCTTCTAACTTTACTACAAAAGGCAAAAATATAAACAAAATAAAATTTTTCAAAATTACAAGAAAAGATGTCCAAAGCATAGCTTTCTTTTCTGTTTTGGAGGAGAGATAAAGGGTATCCCGTAACTTCAGGACTGGACAGGAGCTTAGAGCAGCGAGGGCACAAGTCCCCTGTTTTCCTCCATCTACCAAAGTCAGGGAGAGAATTGTAATGCCCGTTCCATGGGCTGACTCACTACAGAAAAACAAAACCGATCCGTGATCCTCTTTCATCATGCTTAACCCCTGTACCCTCAGCTCTCCAGCGTTTATAAACTAAGGTTAAATGCAAACTGGCAGAAAACCGTGTAACTGTCCTTTTAAAGGTACTCTGCGCTGAAAATAAGATCTCTGCAGCGACTTCACAGCATAATGTATGTGCTCCCCCCACAGCAGATGCTAAAGACCTTGTTGCACTTAATAAAAAAAAAAAAAAATCAGAATTTATTAGGCTGAGGCTGTTGGCTTTTAAGCTTTTACTCTTTTGCTGTACCTAAATTATTTTTTCAAAAAATCATAAATCTTCAAAGCATATGAAAACAGTACCTGACATGGACTTATTCCTTGTTTATATGTCATAACCTTCACCTCGGCTTTATTTTTATAAACTCAATTGGTGTGCCGCAACTCCTGACTCCATCAGCTCCAGCATTCAACTTCCCAGATTAATGGACAGGATGTCAGAGCACACAGAGAAAGGGGGCCTGGGCTCCGGAGCTGGTGAAACCAAGACACCCAAAGACACCGAGTTACTCAAGTCCTGTGTCCTGCCCTCTGCGAATGTCCTCCCAACTCCTCGTTCTACAGGGCTTCTCGAGAGTTTCTGGCTGTGGTCTTCTTTTCCGCACTTCTCAGAGAATGATTCCCTGTCCTTCGAGCCACACATAGTGCTGGCTGTGGAGAGGGAAAACATGCTTGGAGGTAATGCTGGCGTGGTCTGCAGTGTTTCACCTAACTCCACTAGTTCAATTAGGGAGAAGACCTTGCAGCATGTTCTGCTTTTCTGCGGAAGAACAAAGGCATCTTCCTTCACTAATTCTGAAAGTAACTTGTCACAGCGGGGTCCTAAGGCCTAGTCACATAATTGTCTTAGTGTGCTACCCGCTGCGTTCAATATTGAGTGGAAATGGAAGCCAGGCCCCAGCTCCAGCTTATTTCACAATTCTTCTGTTATTTAAATGATTTTAGTCAGTTTGGGGGAAGCCAGACCTTTATAAATTAACAGCAGGGAAATACCAAAGGTGTCAGATTGCATATTTATCATCTTTTTCGTGTAATACTTAAATATGTATTAAGAAGTGACTGACATAAATTAGGCGTCTTTCAGAAGCCACAGGCCGTGGCTTGTAGAGGACCCCCTTCTGCTTGACATTTCATCCTTGTCAAAGATCAAATTATTTTAATTTAGGCTGCAAATTATAAGGAATGAAGACTTCTTTGTGGGAATTCCCTGTGGTAATCTGACTTTTGTTGTTACTGCTGCTTGTCAGTGTGCAAAAGATATAATATGCATGCAAATAAGGTTAAAAAATATGTACTATCTAATTATCCAGCCAGCGCGTTCCACTTGAAGACAGTGGGAGGTCTGACACACAGTATGTGTTTGATTCATTGAGGCCTGCAGGGTATTTACACAAGATTACTTTTAATTATGAAATTAATATCTGTTTATCTAGAATATATAGTGGTGAGTGAGTATACACAGGGGCAGAATTCTTTAGTAAAAAGAAATGAACTTAATTTAATATGTAAAAAAGGAAGAAAAAGTACTTGTTTCTGGAAAAAAAAAATGAAGCCCATCATCCAGAAACAGGGTCCTCTTCAGGGAAACAAAGCAAATGAAAATTTTGCTTGTTTTCCAGAATTGTTTTTTCCACTGTCAAGTGGCTCAAGATGCGTCAATTTAGCTCATTGCATTGTTCTTTTGCTGAACATGGTGCAGCCCTAGCTTCATAAAGAGGAGGTGAATGTGGAGAAAGACAGGATTCAGTTTGTTTTGCTGTCATTTCTATGGGGCGTCGCTTCTTCAAAGACTAAAGGTCAAGGTTTACAGAAGAATTAGTTAGTGTTGAAGCCAGTGATGACTTATTATAGTGGGACATATCCTTGTAGCAACCCTTTACAGAGACACTGCTACTTGTGATATGCCTGTCCCTTACAGGGCATTTTGAAAGCATTTCATATCGTATCTCTTCTCTTCTCGGCTTATAATAGAAAATGGAAAAATAATTTTGGAGATAGTTATAATGACTATCATTTTGGAAAATCTAAAGCAAAATATAAACAACTTGTCACTTTAAAAAAAAAATAGAGAATAGGGGTTGGAGACATGGCTCAGTGGTTAAAACCCCTACTGCTCTTCCAGAGAATCCAAGTTAGATTCCCAGTGCCGACGTCAGTCAGGTCACAAGCACCTGTCAGTATTAGACAAGAGATCTGATGCCCTCTCCTGAACTCAGCAGATACCTGTGCCTGCACACACACACACACACATACACACACACACACACACACACTCAAGCTACAGAATAACTTCATAATCCTCCACACAAATCTATCAACAATAATAAACAGGAAGTTTAAAAATTCTCAAAACTAACCGTTCTTGCTATATAAAGTGGCAGTTGGTTAAAACATTTGTAACATGGGCCAAATGCATTATCAGGATCCCTGCAACTGTAAGTAACTATGTCTGAAGAATCGCTGTACTGCTTGCTTCTCCTCACATCTCCCCCACTTTGCCTGTCTTCCACACTCATCTGGATAGCTGTGTCTCTTATTACTTCTGAAGTGCCTAAAATATGAGCTCATACTCACTTCAAAGTAACTGGATTCTTTGTCATTACTGTTTGTAATTTTTATCAGCCCATTTCATTCCTTGCCCCCCCCAAAGAAAAAGAAATGAAAAAAAGAAAGAAAGGAAGGAAGAAAAGAAGGAAGGAAGAAAGGAAGGAGGGAAGGAAGGAAGGGGGAAAAAGAATAGAAAGAAGGAAGGAAGGAAGGAAGGAAGGAAGGAAGGAAGGAAGGAAGGAAGGAAGGAGGAAAAAGAAACAAAAAAGGAAAAGAAAGGAAAAAGGAAAGGAAAGAAAAAAAGGAAAGGAAAGAAAACCAAGCCAAGTGTAGAGGTAGGAGGAAAAGAAGTGCAAATATATACATTCAAAAGAGGTAATGATCATGATAATTTTTATTCCTAAATTTGACCTCCTAGGCCCACAACTTGCATATTGGAGTTATAAAAAACACAAATGTTTCTATCCCAAAGGTTTCTTTTAAGGTAGAAAACATTGGTGATATGGTATGATCATTTTTAATAGTTATGAATGGTAACTGGTTAATGTTTCTGCATTTCTTCCTTTGTATTGACATGATTTTCAAATTGCTTTATTAAAAGATAAAGAATAAATAAGAAATCAAATAAGTGTAATCTCTCTCTCTCTCTCTCCAGTGTGATGGAGTACAGATAGATTTAATAAACATCTCTCTGGAAGGAATTGCAATTCTGAATATACCAAGCATGCATGGAGGATCTAATCTTTGGGGAGAGTCTAAAAAGAAAAGAAGCCATCGGCGGATAGAGAAAAAAGGCTCTGACAAAAGGCCCACACTCACGGATGCGAAAGAGCTGAAGTTTGCAAGTCAAGGTAAGGTTTCCCAAAATTATAGGTTAAGTTGTTTATTCTTCTTCTTCCAAAGGTTACCTGCAAAAAAAAGTCTTTCGAATACCTATATATGATTAAGTTTTAGTGGATTATAAAGTTATATACTTTTTTTTTCTGTTTTACTTTTTTTCTAGACTTTCTTTGGTAATAGCTTTTTTTGCCCACAGAAAACAAAGTGCACATTATATGTGAAGTAAAAGTGAAATAGAAAACACTATAAACTGAGCTCTTTTGGAATTGCATCATCCTGGCCAGTGTTTTCATGGTTGTACCAAGGACCCAGGTGTTTGATTAACGACTTTACTTTTGTCTCTTCAGTCAAGATATGATATTTAACGCATCGTACATTAAGTTACTATTTCAAGTAACATATGTAAAACATGAATGAAAAATGCTTTGAAATTACACAGTACATGTTTATCTGCTGTTGTGTTTGAGAGAGTTAATATCTGCTAGTAAGCACATGAGAAACAGGAAGCAAGGCATATCAAAACAGAATTCACAGCTATGTGAACATATTTTTCAACACCACTATAATATAGTTCACATTGGGGTATGACAACTAAATCTTGATAAATATTTTAATCAAAGACACCAAAATGTAGGTAGTCACTATAGTATATGTATAAGAGCCTATAATCTTTTCAACTTCAAAAATATATGTTATTAATAACAGTCAGAAAAATAGCCTGTTAATAAAGGCATTAGTATTCCCCCTAAAATGATTCTGGTAGCTAAGATAGGAGGATTACCAGGAATTTGAGGTCAACCTTAACTAAATAGAGGATTCTACAGAGTCAGGTTTTATCAAATAAATAAATTCATGCATATAAATAAATTCATATATACATATAAGCGAAATATGAAGAGATTGTGTCAATAAAGCCTGAATATAAGTAGATTAATAACATTTAAAATGGGTTGTATACTTGATTCTCTTCTGTACCAAGCTCAAATTTAAGCTTTGGAAAATGACTTTTGTTAATGGAACTTAGTATCTCTAAGTTGCACAGGCTGAAGGAGAGAATGTCACATATCCCCCATAAGACAAACTTGCTGCAACCTGCCAGTGACAGAAAGTTTGGGCAACAAACCAATTAAAACATTTTATAATAAGAATGCAGTGCAATTATGAATAATGACACAAAAATGAAATTTTGAAGAATAAATACAGAAAACTGAGCATCTTGTCCTTTATGAATGAGTAGAAAACATGTACAATTATTATTTTATAGAAATGTTGACATAAACATTGTGTTTATACTAAATCTTTTCAGGCAAGATATGATATTCAAATCATCTTGTATTAAGTTACAAAACTTAAATATGAGCAGTTTTCACTTTTTAAATATAAATTGATTTCTAAGACAACCTGTAAATTTCTGATTATTAGAATTATCTTAGAACCTTAGTAAAGGCAACTTACAGCAAGCCCACAGCCAACACCAAACTAAACAGAGAGAAACTTAAATTAATCCTGCTGAAGTCAGGGACAAGGCAAGGCTGCCCACTCTCTCCCTATCTCTTCAACATAGTACTTGAAGTCCATGCTAGAGCAGTAAGACAACTAAAGGGGATTGAGGGGGTAGAGAGATACAAATGGGAAAGGAAGGCTTCAAGGTATTGCTATTGGCAGATGTTAGGACACACTGAGATTTTTTAACTTTCTCATCTGAGCAATAAGAGAAGCAAGTTTAAGATCGATCAGGTTCAAGCGTCTGCTCCTTTTGTTGATTCACTGCTTACAGCCAGGATGACTTTCATTTCTAGATAAACCTTCTAACGGAGTATTTAAAAACCAATTACTATAATGTTTTCCTCATGTTAATTTTAGAAAGCAAAACTTGTCAGTCTGGTAAATTTTGCAACACTGTAGCTAACAATGTATCAAAATACTCCTGCATTTGGATTTATCATTTATTCTGTTACATTTTAAGTTTGTTTGTTTGTTTGTTTGTTTGTTTGTTTGTTTGTTTTTGGAGACAGGGTTTCTCTGTGTAGCCTTGGCTGTGTCTTGAACTTGCTTTGTAGACAAGGCTGGCCTCAAACTCACAGAGATCCACCTGCCTCTGTCTCCCCACGTTCTGGGATTACAGGCGTGCGCCACTACACCTGAGCGTTCTGGTACTTCTTAAGTGTTGTGCTTACTGTGCAAAAATAAATTTAATAATAAAATTAGCCGCATGTACCACTTTCCTGAATGGTAATATTTCTAGTACTTCATTTTTTTTTTAATTTCTTGATACAGAAGATGTGTCAAGGTCATTACATTGTGCTTTTGGACTTTTAAAATGTTTTTATATACTCTTTCAGAAGTTATCATTTTATTTTCATCCTCTCACATCTCTTCCCAGATCCACCTCCCATTCCACACCCACCCAACTTTGTGTTCTCATTTTTTTAAAACCCTGTTTTGGTTTTGCTTTTTTGGTTTTGTGGTTGTTGTTTGTGTTTTGTTTTGTTGTTTTGTTTTAATGTCCTGTTAATGTAGCCTGTATTCTCTTAGGTGTGTGGCCATCCAATAGAGTGTGGTAGACGTACCAGGGGTCAGCCTCTTGCAGAAGACTGACTCTCTCTCTCTCTCCTGGTAGCTATCAATTATCAACAGGAATTCCTCAGGTCGGGGTGGGACTGCATGCCAGTCTTCCCCCTCCACATGGACATGGGTAATTTGTCTGGCTTGACCTCCACAAAAGCATGCTTTCTTCGCAGCCCTCTAACACCTTTGGCTCTTAGACCTGCCGTGATCACTGAGACTTGGAAGGAAGGGGATTTAATTAATACACAGCCATTTCGGGCTGAGAGCTCCGCAATCGCTTATTCTCTGCACCCTGGCCTTGGGGTTTTCTGTGTTAATCAGTATTTACGACAGAGAAAAGAAACTCTGCAATGAGGTCCGAGAGAGACAGTAGCTTATGAATGCCCGTCAGCATCGTCTGTAGAATCACCATGGAGCCCGCGTCAACAATTTCTATAGTCATAAAACACCTAAGTGAAACAATGAAGAACTGACCATCGCGACTCCCTTCTCTCCTGGGAAAGACTTTATTATATAATAAAGTACCCTGAAAAACTTTCAAATGGACTAGAAGTGTCGGGTAGGTTTTTACCGTATTTTGGAAGGCATACTCATCTTTCTTAATTTTAGAAAGTGTTTTGGATTCCAGGAAGCATGAAAAAGTGTATCATTACGTTTATGTAACAGAGAGAAATTATTTCTTAATAAAAAGAATTAAGGAAAAGTTTGCACTGTATCTCAAAACATATTTAAAGAACTGTCATAAGTCCGGGGTCTAAGTCTAGGTGCATGAGACCTCGGGTCCCTTAGCTGCCAGGAGAGTAGGCGCCCAGCAGTTCTCTTGCTTGCTGTCTTTGAGAGCACTCAGGAGATCAAAATATTTTCAGTCAGTGTTTTGGTTGGGAATTCTGCTGCTGACTTAATTCAGAATTGAACAAAATTATAAGTAATTTGCTTAATTATATTACCATTCCATCGAGACACAGTGAACTAGTTGGATACAATTCTGAAACATGCACTCAGAGTTCCCTCGTTAGCAGACATTTCCTTTATGTGTGTTTATAAATACAAACGAGTGTGTTAAATACAGACGGCATCGCCTTTAAGCGAAACTATGAAGTAGGCCAAGTCATCTTCCATACCCATGCCGTTAATACTTAATCTTCCGCGTGTCTCTGTAGCTACTAAGTTCATAAGTACTGTACTGTCCCTTGTTCTAAATTAACCTGAGAGAGATGTCTAATAAATTCACTCCCATTAATGTATAAATGACTGATTGCAGACAAAAGGAGAGGTATTTGCATTTTAAAAGACATAAAGGCCTTCAGCTAAAACATTATTTTTCATCCAGCATTCTACTGAGTTATAGCTGTGATTCTTCAGCAGTTCTTAAAGACTTAGCTCAAGTCCATTGTAGTATTTTGGAACAAACTGAAAAAAAAAACTTTAATAAAATAAACAAATTATTCCTATTAAAACTATTTTCCATATTAACTATTTTCAAATTATGAACAGACAGATATTTTGAATGATCTTTGTATTTTGTTCTTTTTTCTTTGTCTCCTCAATTAGGATGATAGGCAGATAGATTAAATGGTTAGACGTATGAGGAGATACACATAATTTCTCTCACACATTATTTACATATGTACACATGAATACACCATGCTTTCAAAAATCTGTTCTGCAATAATCATTTAAAATAGTGTGTCTGTGAATGTTTATTGGAGGAATGTAAGCATGTACTATACATTATCACTGTAATCCATCTGAATCACCCGCAAGAAAAGACCAACCTCTTCAGACTCTTCTGTTCGTCGCAAGGTCCAAATGCTGCAAAGTCATCAATGGAAGTAAAGACAAGCTTTACCAGTATTGAAAAATGAAGGTATTAGTTGATGATTGCAGTTTTGCTCATATAGAAATTGTGCTATTTTAACTACTTCTAACAAATAATACACATATTCTAATGACTGTCAGGATAGACTTGACTTAAACACGTTCATCATTAAACTTCCTATAAGGAGCCAGGGATTAAACTAAATGTTAACTCTGTATGCACAATGAAATAAAACTGAGAGAATTTGGGGTGAAAATCTGAACCAGGCAGCAAATTATTTTCTATACATTTGTATGGACAGAGATGAAAGAGTCACGTTTTGTGGGCATCTTTAACCAGCTTCGTGAGCTGCAGTTAGATTGTGACAGAGTCCTCTATCTCCCTGACATAATATTTAAATAGTATATAGCTGAAAAAAAATATTAAAATGAACTTTTGAAAAGGATTTTTTAACCAATGTGTGAGGACTCCACAGGAAGTTGAGCCATTTTAGTTCTACTAGATTTAACTATAAATGGACAGTCAGCCATGCAACATTCCAGTAAGGTAACAGTGGTTATTACAGATGCCTAAGGAACAACACAGGGAGCTGATGTCACTTCACTACGTATCTGCCTATCAGAA